CGCCTATGAGGACAGTTGACGGGAGATTCTGCTGGCCAAGGGGCCCTAGATCGATTGTCGGTACCATGATTGAGGTCAAGCAGACAACTAGTCCTGAATGTGACAGACAGTGGAGGAGATCATATATTCAAGAACATTGTACGGGGCATGTGCGGACCAAGCACTGCGCCAACTGTTGGATTATTTACCCGCAGACAGGATTTGCTTGGGAGCTGCACACGGGTTTCGATCGAAATCAGTCAGTCCTCACATTTACCCGCATCAACAAAATTCCCAAGACTGCAAGTATACTTGGGACTTCTGTAATCACTCGGACTGATTCGTGATTTCGCTTCGCACGCGTTTATTATTGTGTCTGCATGATGTCGTCTCTGCTCCCACAAGCGGAGGGATACCTTCCCCTCTACATTTTGTTCGTAAGTCGAGCTGCAGTTCCGAGTTACATTGCTGCTACTAACCCTAACATTCAGGTGGGCGTCACCGCCATTGGAAACGCCATCCAATGCTACATTACCCTCTCCTACACGCAACGTCTCTACTCGGGCCGACCTTCAGCAACCCAAACCAAGGGCAAAGCCTCCCCCGAAGCGATCTCCCCCGTTACGCATCTCTCGTCAAGAACATTTGGGACTTGGACGCTGGCAGTCGGGATTGTTAGAATATTTGCTGCTTATCACATCCATGAACCCTCATGGTTTCAGATGCAGATGTTGACCAATGTCATTGGGCTTGTGCACTTCAGTCTCGAGGCGTTTGTGTACAAGACTTGTTCACCGTCAGGGCCATGGACCGCCCCTATCAGTGTTGCCCTGATTGGATTGGTTTGGAGCATGGCACAATATGGCTTCTATGTCAGATAAGAGGTTCCGCAGGATATCATCACTTGGTGTCATGAAGTGGGCATGGGCTCGATCGTGGGCTTGTCGGGCGAAGGCGGCTTCCCTACTCGTTCTCCCTGCTTGTCCCCCAGCTTCTTCCTGTATAACTTTCCCGCGCAATTCCGCAGCTTGACTGTAGCCTGTTCCGGGGTGATATCTCTTTGGGGTTCTCCGAGCATTTCATATCCGACCAGAAATTTCCTGACATTTGCGCTCCTCAGAAGTGGGGGATAGAAATGCAGATGGAGACTGGAGCACTCAATCTCCTCATCGCTCCCGTCCAGCGGCGCTTGGTGGATGCCCATACTGTAGGGGAAACTCGTTTCGAAGAGGTTGTCATATCGCCTCGTGATCTCTGCAATGGCCTCTGCCAGGTCCATCTGTTCCTTCACACTCATGTCAATCAGAGAGCGGATGTGTTTGACGGGTAAGATCATTGTTTCGAACGGCCAGGTCGCCCACCATGGACAGACCACCAGGAAAGTCTCATTTTGAAAGACGACTCGCTCGTTCTTTTCTCGTTCCAGGCGGGCATAGTCCACCAACAGATGTCCACCGCCTTGTTGACGGTTGTATTTCCTCAATTGCTCCAACTCAATGGCGGCCTCTTCGGGCAATGAGGTGGTTGTCCAGATCTGGCCGTGGGGGTGAGGGTTAGAGCAACCCATGGCGGCACCTTTGTTCTCGAATATCTGCATCCACCGGTATTGGTCCTTGGGTCTCCCGACATTTACGTGTGGGTTAGACGGCGGTAGGTGAGTCGGCTTAGCCTGTGCAGCCAGAGGGGACCGGGGAGATATGTGTGCGGTGTAGATGTCTGTCCATGTTTTCACAATTAGAACGATCTCGGCTGGGGACATGTCCGCCAATGTGATATTATGAACAGCGCTGAAAGTTAAGACATAGCATTTGCCCTTGACAGGTTCGGCTTGTAACAGCAGACTCGACAGGCTTCCTGGTTCATCCGGAGACTTGTAGTCTTCCTGTGACTCTTTCACGGCGCTGAAGTCATTCACAAAGACATAAGTGCTCTCGTACTTGGGGTTGGTATCCCCCGAAGCTCTCGTATTTCCCGGACATAGGTAGCATTTGGGATCGTACACAGGGAGGTCGATGATTCCAGGGCTCTCCTGCTGGCCTTGCCATGGTCTCTTGGTGCGGTGAGGGGATACCAAGATCCAACTGCCACGGAGGGGATTGTATCGGCGGTGAGAAATGTCGTCCAGGATCTTGTCTGGCATTTTGAGGTTGGCCTGGTCGTGGGGGTTTGTTGGCGATGGACAAGGTAGGATCTGCTGCGCCCTTGTAGTGTCAGGAGGAATGGACCTAGCGAACCTCATTCAGCGTCCAATACCACCTGCAAAGTGAGCCTGGACCGGCCATATGGGGAGACCTCGCGTAGCTCCACCTTAATCATTGTGGACAGCATCAAGGCACGCTTCCTGTTGTCCTGATGCTGCACAAAATACCCTCCTCCAGAAGCCCCGCGTCTTGCCCGCAGCTCAATTACGTCAATGGGCTCACCAAACCTGACCAGGCTCACCAGGCTCACCAGGCTTATCGGCCGCCGGCAAAAGCGTATCTGTCGTTTGTCGTTTCGCGACCATGTTTCCGATCTCGGGTCAAATCACGGCATCTCCTGACAACATTATTACTATACATCCCGTCTTGTCGTGTCCAAGCAATCCTTCCGCCTATTATGATGAACAGCATCCAAGCTTTGCTGCGAGCCAGCTACCATTCTCTCTTGGCCGTGGCCTGCTAGATGTAGCCGGACGACCTTCTCTTCGAATTGATCACCTCGTTGATTGAACCGACGTCAATGGGTGCTGCCGTGCCCGTCTGGTGAATATGGCTTGCGATCCTCGATGTCTGTACGATCTCCCGAACGAAGTATGTTTCTCCAGCTGTCGGGAGGAGATGATCATGCTGACTGTCACAGATACTGGTGTCTATTCTCTCGGGCTTTGCGACTCAGGAACTCCTGCCCCTAGTCGTGGTCTCGCGACGGTTTCATTCCATCATCCTCAGAATCCTACATTTCCGACTCCTCCTCGCCGCGGCTCTCCCGGACTACAAATTAATCCTGGAGGCGTACCATCCAAGCAAGCGGTACAGCGACCCCTATTTATTCTGCACATACCTTGGGACAGATGGTCTCAGCTCGAAACATGAAGGTGAAGGGAGTCTCTATGAGGACTGTGATGGAGAGGAAGGAAGGCTCGCGAAACTAGGTGGGCTCTACAGTCGGTTCAGACCCGAGCGCCCGGGAGTACAGGGCTCAATGCCCGCACGACGGATTGCCGGTGCTGTGCTCAACACCGCGTCATCCTCAATCAGTGGAACAACACCGATATATGCCGACGGAGGCGACGGAGGCTTCACCAAAGTGGCACACACGTTGAATCTCGATGCCGACGAGTTGTTTGGCCAGTTCTGCGCCTATGCAAGTCTTGTGAGGCTGGGTCCACGTAGAGGGGTCTTTCTAAGCAATGTGCACATTGTCCGATCCGGCCAGGGCGTCATGCGAGTGTGGAAACAATGGCTCCAAGATCGCGCCCAGGAGTTGTGGCAACACGAGCAAGAGACTGAGGGTGTGCCATTGGGTCCGACGCCCACTATGAGTTGTCCCACTATTGGCGCAGATAAAAATATTATGTGGACGGACTATAGGAAGAATGTCGGCCTGCGGGTTGCAGTGCGTGATCGGAGTGGAAGATGCCATGGAAATCATGCTGCCGAGTTCGACGATTTGCCGATGAGCTTTACAATAGAGATTCAAGGTGAGTTCTCCCTCCGCTCCGGACCCAAGCCAACTGCTAACTGTTCATGCAGAGCTCGTGGTGCGAACGACGCACCTGATGCTGGCTGTGGAAGCGTCCACGCAGCAACAGGGCAATCTATCAGGTAAAGCCCTTATATTCGGCAGTTTCGCCACTGCAGCCTCGTCGTAGGGCTGGTTTACTCAGGGGCACGTGAGTTTGTCTTGTCTCCAACGACGTCCTCTCAATCTCTACCTCATCCTATATTCTGTATATTCGGAAAATTGTACAACCATTGTCGTCGGATTCCCCGCTGGCAGTTGGAAATCAGAACCAGGGACTGACTTCGTCACAGAGACGTCCGCGAAACCCTGGGAGTTACTGGCATGGGTACAATTGCTTTTCACATAGAATTGGAAACCTCCAAGCGGGAAATTGATGGCGCTGCAACACACGCGCCATGCAGACGCTGATTTTTCCCCGATTCTCAAGCAGGAGGGGAAGGATCTCGATTTTACCGCTTATTCATGCGGAATGAGATTGCAATGATTTGCTTGTTCGTAAATGGTTCACGAGGGAGACGGCGCTGGCCTGGTCTAGCCGAGCCTGCATCCGTGTTGGAATACGTTGGCTCCTTGCTGGCCACTGCTGACTTGCTGGGGCTTATCGTCTCCCTCTTTGTGTTTTTTGGATTTTCATCTTCCCTCAAAATCCGATCACCTCCACCTGTCTGCCCGTCCTTGTATATATTCTCTCCGGTCCAAGAATCGTCGCGGGCTGGAAATTGTCTTCTTGGTCAGGTGCTTCGGCTATCAACGAGCCCTGCAGCAAGCGACCTGCAAGCCACAAGCTCTCGGCCCACTCACCCGTGTTCAGAGTTTGTCCAACTCGATGGACAAGCAGCTCCTGTCTCCCTCGGCGAGCTCTCTCGGGTCGTCATATTGGTTGATAAGGATTGATGGCTTGCATCCACGGCCTACGTGGCCGCTGAAACCACCACAACGGTAGGGCCGCGACCCTCACCGGTTCGAGTTGGACGTCGTCGACCTGAGGCTCTTCGGTTTGGAGAGACAAAATCAACAGGCAGTCAGTACCCCGCTCTTGCTTGCTAGAGGTCTCGAAGCTCCCACATGGCGTCGATTGACAATTCACAACCCGGCCAGCTCCCTCCCACCAGCTTTTCCCGCTCCGTTATTTCAGCAGCAATCCCCACGATCCAGGTTTTCATCTTTCTTTTTTGCCACCGATGATCACTCCGTCTCAACGATTTCTTGCATGAATACTTCCGCTTGGTTCCTGAACCCAGATCCTGTTAACCCCGCTAGGCAATAGTGCCCACCAAGACCCATTTTGAGTGACAATGCCTCAGTATAGCACTTTCACCATTCCCAAAGAAGGGATATCGCGAGAGGTGGTCGAGGCAGATTTGCCCTACTACCTTGGCCGGGATGCCAAGGTAATGGAGAATAGTGTAGGTCGCGGCCGGTACATAGCACAGCTTTGAGGAGGAGGCTGACCCCGCGACAGAAAGGCGACCGATATGTCATTCAGGCATTTTCCGAACCGCCGAGGGTAAGTATTGCCACGGCCCTGTCTGGTCGCAACCGCTCAATAGCGTGCTGCAGCACATGATCACATCTCTGCGAGATGACACAGCAAGATGGCATAGCAGCGATGACCGCCGGAGACGATTGCGTAAGTATTTTCATCACTCTCACTGAGATGATTCTCACGACAACAGGCTACTCGGAAAGTCGAATCCATCAAGACCGGAAGCGGGCTTGTCGTGGGCAGGCCGATCCTCAACCTCAACTGACAAGGCACAACTCCCGTGACGCGACCTCAGGGCATGGTCCTACCGCGATATCTCCAATTCCCGTGCCTCCAAGACCCCCTCTGGCGCCACGATATAGCTCAAGCAATGGCTCGGTCTATGGGTCAATGCAAGTTTCGCCGGGTTCCAACTTTGAAAGCATTTCTCGGTGCCAGTCGAGGCGGGAGTCAGATGCCATGTCGTCCCTGGATGGCGGCATGATCAGTCGGACAATGTCGGCGTCAAGTGTCTCCAGTAGCTATGGGACGAATGGGACGTATGGCTTCAACAAGGACCCGCCAGGTGGCCGCAATGGTGAATGTAAGACTCGCCAAGTCCCAAGGAGTTGATGACTGAAGGTTTGGGGGCCATTTGTCTCATGACAGGCGCGCTGAGACTGAGTGTTTCTGTTCTGCGACAATTTTGAACAGCGATGCTAACTAGCCGCAAACGCAAAAGACGGGTTCGCCAGCGGTGACCGAGGAAACCCTGCGTGCTTCGGCCGCTCGTAGACCAGCGCCCAGCGAACGGGCTGATCGAGTTGATTCCTTGCTCGTGAGAGACGATCGGGACTTAGTTGTATGTGTACCTTCTCTCAATATACCCCGTATGGTGACAGTTGTCGCTCACACCATTCCGACAGTGTGTCTGCCTCGAGCATCCTGCCTTGTGCTTTCAGGATGTCTCTGAGGAGTTGGAAAGAATAAGTCGATTTCGGGTTGGATTCGCCCAGAATGCGATGTCTGTTCCGCACGACTTCTCGCAGCAGCAGCTCGCCCAGCAACAGATGACTGCTTTTCCTCGTCCCCGTCTCCTTCTTCGCCAGCTGGAAGAGGAAGAATGCGTGCCGATGTTTCGCTTCCCAACTATACGGATGCTGCTCAGGGAAGTTCTTCCGCACCCGGGGCAAGACCGATTGAACAATAATATTTTCGGCCCCTTCAGCATCTCCGCAATAGAAGGTGGCCCTGGCCAGTGTGGCGGCGGCCATGATGGTCTCGATGCGGTCGTCCCCGAAATGTTGCTCCCACTGATGGGTGAGGTCGAGCAACTCTCTTCGAGCGGGCTCGAAGTTCTCAGGCGCCCTCACTTCCTTTTTCAGCTCATTCTCCAGCATCGCCCATGCCAAGTTATACCTCGCAGTTAGAGCGGGCCCGGAAGATTTAGAGAAGGAAATCTCCATTTGCGTCAGAATGTGGGAGAGGCGAGCGATGTCATGCGGCCGGCAGCCCGTTCCGCCACGTTGGAGCATGTTCTTTTTGAACTCGATGGTCATGGTCAGCGGATTGTCGAATCCAAAGTGATTCTTGGTCAACTCGTCGCAGCTGGTCAGGAGCTCTGAGAGCCTGTCCCACTGGCCGTAGCAATCGAACAACACCGATACAATGCTCAGCGCTCCCAGACATTCTTCTGCGGGGGAACTCTCATTTCTGAGCATGCACAAGAAGTTAAACAGGGCACTGTTCAAGTAATATTCGGTTTTCGACTGGAACCTTTCACCATTCTGTCCGGCACAAATTAACCAGTACAGACAGTACATGACAAAGTACGCCGAGAGACTCCTGTCATTGAGTTGCCGGCTGTGGGTATGGTCGCCGAACCGGTAGATGTCAACTTCGAGGTCGCCAAGCTCGTCGACGACGGCCGGTGTCACGGACAGAGCAGCATGCGTGAAGTCAGCAGGCCATTGCTTGCTTGGGTCATTGTTGTCCCACAGCTGGCACCAGCTGGACGGAACAGGCTCTCTCTGAGCACGCCAGAAAGGCCCCATGATATTGGGGATAGCCGGCTGACTGCGGGTCAAGATTGCCCCCTGCATTGGCATATGATCACGGATAAAGCCCAAATCGATCGAGACTCCTTCACCGCCATATATTGGTTCTGACAGTGCGGCTGCATTATTCAGATTGTACGAAAACTCCCCCGAATGCCGGGGGCTGGATTCTGGCGATGGTATTGTGACCCTCATTGGGGAGATGGGCCTGAAAGAGGCGTGAGATTCAAGAGAGCCAAATGAACTTGCTGATGGAGGTGTCGGGGGCAGGTGGGAGGGCGTTGGCTGCTGGGGTTCAACTGGGAACGCTTGTAAGTGAATGTAAGAGGGTGTCTTGTCGTCGTTCGTAATGCAGGAGAGCAGGTCTTGTTCATCGGCAACCTTTTCATTTCTCTGGATGTACTTGGTGATATCCTCTCGCCGTCGAGGGTGTCCCGAGAAGATGACAACCTCTTCGAGGCCCTCTCTCTTGGCTTGATCCAACAACCTCAAGATGAAGGCAGCATCACGCTTGGTGAGCTTATGTCTCAGGCCCCAGGTCTTCAACTGACTCTTGTATTGTTTAACTCTGGCATGTTGGTTAGCACATGTGGGCGAAGCCGGCCAGGTGGTTATTGGGGTTCTTCTCTTACGAAAGATTGATACCGTACTCTCTTTTCATATGGTCCATGATCCAGTTCAGGGGTCGCTCATCGTGGATATAGAACTTTTCAATGCGGTCCTTGTGAGGGCCGAAAGCGACATCGCGAGTCTGCTTTGATTGGACTCGTTTGAACCCCGACTTAGGTTGGGAACGAGGTCGTGGCAGGTTCGACGGCCTCATGGTTACCCACAGGCCACAGCCTTAAGCCACACACCTGAATCTGGGATAGAAAGTATGCAAAACGCCAGCCCTTAAGGCTTGCCGGGAAGGTTGTACACTTGTCAAGCAGGAGACAAGACGGGATGCATGGAGAAGAAGGATCACACCCAATCTAAAGGAGAGCTACAGCGCCAGATGCTGCAAGCCAGGCCACTTGGACTCTTTGTAGCGAGAGAGGCCGTCATGTTGTTCGTCGAGGTGGCAAAAGCGGCCATCATCCAGCATCATTAGCCTTGGAAAGCCTCGTGAACAAGGCAGAATGGCTGCCTGGTGTGCGCCTCGTGCCCTCCCTTCCCCCTGGGAGATAACGCTCGGGAGGATGGGAACGAGGCCGGGGGTCCAGGGGACGGGAGGCTTCAGGGAGGCATAAGCCTAGCTAGCAGTAAATGGCTTAGCTAGAGGAGCTCGAAGCCCACCCGCAAAGGTTCCCCAAACGCCCCTTCTCTCCAGGCACCTGCCAGGGCCCATGATCCTGGCACTGGGCAGGAGTGGGTTTGGTAGAGTGGTGCGTTCCAGGTAGTATCCTGCACAAAGATTCCACCACTTTGCACCCTATCATTCGGGATTTAGCAGAGGAGGAGGGAACCGTCGCATGATCGGATCATGAATGAGCTTGAATGGGATGATACCCTTGGAAGACTGACCAACTAACCTCTCTCAAAAGTTCCGCAAGTCATCAATCAAAGCACTAGAATGGTGGCAAAACCATCCATCAGCATCTTACCTTGACCGGACCAGGCACGGTCCTTCCCTTTCTCCTGGCTCCTGGGTCACAGACAAAATGCACTTGTGCCTGAACCGGCCAGGCATTGCTTGATATGATTCCTCTCACGTACGAAAACAGCGCGCCTACCTTAACTTCATACAGAACGGAGGGGGAAACCAAGCAGAAGATGAGGGAGGAGCGTTCTTCGTCGTCCTCTTCTGCTTCTTCTTGTTCTTGTCCCCTTGGCCTGATGATTTACCTCACACGGAAAGAACGAGCAGCAGTAAGTGGTGGTTCGCATGCCCGCTCGCTACAAAGGTTCCAGAAAGGCGGGCCCTTAAACTAGCACCCCGAGGCAACCGTGTGCTTTCTTTTCCTGTTCGTTCAACCGTCGGGTGTTTGGCCCCCAAGTGTGGCCCATGGTCAGCTGAAGCTTTGCCCTTCTTGCAGCCCATCCCGTCATTTATGAATCCCCTCAGCGCAAAACTCCCGACCTATGAGTTAGAAATGCCGCGTGGTTCCCTCGACAATCAGTCCCATTTTCGTTGGGGATCTTCTTTGTGCCTGTGAGGAAGACCATACGGGAGCACGAGGAGGTTCCTCTTTCGCTCAAAACAGAACAACGCGTCAGAGGAAAGGACTTTTGTTTGGTGTCGTCTGCTATCATCCTTCCGTACCAAGAAGGGATTTTTGCCTCCCCCAGAGAGGATCCGTGTTAAGCGCCCATTGCTGGCTCGCTGGCTCTCCAGGCCTCTCCAGAGCTCCCCCAGAGGCCCAGCGTCCAGGGGCGGAAGAAGCAAACAATGGATCTTCCTAGCCCAGTGCCTGTTGTCCGCTCGTCAGCAACCCCTTGGCAGCTTACGTTGTTGTGGAGCTGATTGTTTCAATCAGTACCGGTATGCTCTCAGCTCATCCTTCTTCCCCCTTGCCGAGCTCTCCCGCAGCCATGACACAGAGTATGACTCCGTTATCATTAAAAATATGCCTTCATGTCGATGCCCCCGAACCCAAGACGAGCATGACCCGAAGATGATCGATGCCAATGTCAACCCCTCCCGGATCCGCCTGCGCCGATCACCGGTGAGAAAAGTCCATCGAAAGTCCTCCCGATCGCATCGCTCCTGAAACATCAGGCTGTGAACTTTTTGCAAGGCCTCAGGCATCTACATTCCGAGGCAAACAGCACCGACAGAGGGCTCTGTCTGCTTACTCATTCTTGTTCTGGCCACTGGCATCCATCTGGACGCTATTTTTCGAGTTCTGCATAATCGACCTCGTCTCTGGGATCGATATCCGAGTTTCTTCGCTCGCTTGCTTGCGTGCTTACCTACTTACTTACCTACTTACCTGCTTACTTGCTCAAATGAGAGGTATCCACCACCGTTTGCAGTTGACGCGCAATGGGGACTTTTGCATGCCAATGTATCTGCTTGTCCGATGCGCTCGGTACTATGGTTCTAACTCAAAGACCAGAACTAACACCGTGAATTCTTAATAATCTGCCATCACATACCTGGCCAGGGTGGTCCCATGGACCATAATGGTAGGACCAAAGGTTTGACGAGGCCGTGATCGCGCATGGATGGCACTTCGCGGTCACATCAGGAACAGAAGAACCTTTGCGGCCACATTAGGAACAGAAGTACCGTTTTGACAATCGTCCCCCGCAACATAACTACACTGCCGCAGGACTGGACTTGATGGCCGCAAAGGAGATATGTGTTAATGATAAACCACATCGCGGCCCACTGACCAACCCGTGTTACTCTCTCAGTGTCAATATATAGTGACAGAATATGCTACTCTTCATCGACCGAAGCCTCTGAGCAACACAGCATCGGTCAGTTGGCAACGGACCACGGAACGTCGTTGCTCGGTACTGTCCTGTCTTGCCCTCTCTGTTAATCCCAAACAGCTCTCTCCTTCGCACTCTTGCCGTTACACGAATCCTCGACACCAAGAGAAAGAGAAAGAGAAAGAAAATACTTCCATCCTAGTCACCTCCACCTTGCTGTGACAGAGAGCTCGTCGACGCCAATAGTCTTCTACCGCACGACTGAAACCAACTCGATCCGTTACTGTCGGTACAACTCGGCAAAGTCCAAGCACCGCAAGACAAAAGCCTGAAGATCACGACCAAAAGTCGGAGTACAAATATTCCACAGGAAGAACAGGACTCCAGAGGGGGAAAAAAGGTACCGACCATCATGCCGCCGCCGACATCCTCCAACACGCCCCCATCCACCCGTCACCACGCCTGGAGCACCACCAGCGTCAAGAGCGGGAGTACCAGTGGCCAGCAACAGCAACAGCAACAACAGCAGCAGCAGCAGCAGCAGCAGGGTGGGCCCAGGAAAGAATCAGAAGCCCCCGTGACGGTGCGCCGATGGCTCGAGGGGCGCGACCATCCCGCGCGAGAGGATGTGCTGGACCGCGTGTCGCGCGCATTTGGGCCCAAGGAGAATGGTGTGGGCGGGGCGAAGGTCAAGATGAAGTTGTAATGGACATGGCGAGAATGAAGATGACGATTGATGAAAATGATGAAAATGGGCTGGGGGAAGTCCTCCATCTCGTATTCATACAACACAACATGAATTTAGTTGTTACTAACCCGGTGCATTAAGCGGACAGGGTGCCAAGGTATTGATACATTCATGATTGGTTCCGAAAGGGAATGTTATGGTTCAGCTCACGGGCTTGTTTGTTACCACTTTACATGGCGTCGCTGTCATGCATCCAGCTACATCTCTAGAGAAGATGGGAGGATATTAACAAGATTCATTCGAGTGACAGACTCTGGCTTGGTCTATCCACATATATATATATATGTATTTGCAATCCATTCGACTGACTGTCCATCTAATATGACTGAATCCATCGCTTCCCGCTTCTTGCATTTCCAGTTACGGCGTGTTTGTCGCCTTGCCTTCCTGGCAGTAGCATACGAGTCGTCGCAGCCATATTAAGCAATTCATATCCCAATCGCTGCACTTGGTACCTGTATTCCCATCTCCCATACTTTAGAGACCGACGCCTTCGCTATGCAAGAGTTGTGAAAAAAGGAAAAAAGGAAAATAGAAAAAAAAAAAAAAAAAAAAAAAAAAAAAAAA